CATTTGCCATGAGGTTTGTAGTTCCTTATATAATACCAACATACCTACATTTGCCATGAGGTTTTGCTAGTTTCTTATATAATACCAACATTCCTACATTTGCCATGAGGTTTGTAGTTCCTTATATAATACCAACATTCCTACATTTGCCATGAGGTTTGTAGTTTCTTATATAATACCAACATTCCTATATTGCCATGAGGTTTGTAGTTCCTTATATAATACCAACATTCCTAACATTTTGCCATGAGGTTTGTAGTTTCTTATATAATACCAACATTCCTATATTGCCATGAGGTTTGTAGTTCCTTATATAATACCAACATTCCTACATTTGCCATGAGGTTTGTAGTTTCTTATATAATACCAACATTCCTATATTGCCATGAGGTTTGTAGTTTCTTATATAATACCAACATACCTACATTTGCCATGAGGTTTGTAGTTTCTTATATAATACCAACATTCCTACATTTGCCATGAGGTTTGTAGTTATCTTATATAATACCAACATTCCTACATTTGCCATGAGGTTTCGTAGTTTCTTATATAATACCAACATTCCTACATTTTGCCATGAGGTTTGTAGTTTCTTATATAATACCAACATTCCTACATTTGCCATGAGGTTTGTAGTTTCTTATATAATACCAACATTCCTATGTTTACCATGAGATTTGTAGCCACCTGTATTATATCATCATTCCAACATTTGCCATGAGGTTTGTAGCTTCCCACATTTTGCCATGAGTTTTGTAGCTTCTTATATAATACCAACAGTTCTACGTTTGCAAAACTAAAGCCTTCCTCAGCTAGAAAAGTGAAAAGTAAGAAATAGCAAAATGACCTTTCTAGTCTTGATGGGTCTCAAATTCAAACAGAAAAAGAACATTTAAATAGGATAAACTGTTTTCAGATATAAATAAACCTTTCTTATTAAAATTTGATATCTTATTGTTTGCTGTTTTTTTTTTAGATTATTTTACAATTCTTTTTATTAAGCACTTTTCAAAACAAACCATCCCCTAGAATGTAAGATACTGATATCCTAGTTTTTTTCCATTCCAGAAACATAACTGAAAAGACGTTGCAAATTTTAACAAAAGACAAGTCTACACAGTTGTAGCCTCTTGCACATGGATACAAAACAACATGAGACCATAAGGGTACAGTTTAAAGCCCTTGACATGTTTACAAAAGAAATCTGTGATATATGGGTGCAGTAATAGCCCCTGGCTAGGGTATATATAGAAGCTGTGATGATAAATACAGTGATGAGTGGAGTATAGTGGCAGTTTAAAAAATAAGACCCTGTTTTAAAAATGATTATGTCTTGTAGAAAAGTAGTTACCATTGTGCTGAATTAATTTTCTGAAACATTGGTTTCTCTTTACTCCTACTGAGCAATAATGGCTTGGTAGATGATGTTTGTGTTTTATAAAAGATTATATCTTTTGAAAAAAATTATCAGCATTGTTTTACATAAAGAAAAGTTTAGAGATTGTGTCCTTCTAAGCTTCTTTACCTAGATTTTCCATACAAGTGGATGAGGTACTATGTCAAGCTTGTAAATGTAATTTTTCAGGGATATATTGGAAAAAATATATAATAGTTTGTGATATATTCAATGATCTGTTCCAGTATAAAATGAAAGTGATACAAATAAAGTATAAAAAAGAAATTCAGATTTGTTATTTATTACTTTATTGCACATTTATTTCTATAATTATGTTAAATTATCACATGATATATACTTTATATACATTTAGCATTGACAACAATTGAAGTAAACTAATGTTTGAGCAATCAATGAGCAAATTAACATACACTAATAAATAACAATGAAGGTTAAATTGAGAATATAAATACATGTAAATTATGAAGAGCTTACTGCAGCACTAAAGGAATGTTTGTGGCAAATATTTTTGGCCAATCAAAAAAATACATGGTATTGTTCTAGTAAAAATCTCATTGGTACATTTTTCACTTATTAAAATCAAAATGTTGAAAAAAATGGATACCTAGATAAAATCGCACTTTCCTCTGTATCCTTATCAGTGTGCTATGTTACTAGCACAGGTACTTGAAACAAACTATTTTTAATGTTCCATATGGGCTATACACTATAAGTCTTATTATAGTATTTAGCCCATAATATAGAACTTTAAAAAATAGCTTTTTTTAAAGTACCTGGGGTAAAATTTGGAAAAAACACTAGGGTTATTTCTTTCTTTTTTTCCAATGAACCATTTAAAAAAATACATTTGGAAATTTAGTGTCCAAAAATAAAAGGGGTTTAAAATAAACCACTACTTTTCCCCCAAAATTTTTTCCTAATTACGGTTATGAAAAATGTTTAAAATTTCCCCAGGGGTTTTCCCAAAATTTAAAACATTTAAATAAAACAAAATTCATCTTTTTAAAGGTTTTCCCTTTAAAAAGTGGTTAAAAAAACCAACTCCCTTTTTCATTGGTCTGGGTTTTTTTTAAAAAGAAAAATTTAAAAACTTTTACTTTTTGGGAAATTAACAGCCCCCCTTTTTCCCTTCCAAACCCCCTCAAACGCTCCTTTATTTTTGTGAAAACTTATTTTTTAAGGCTTTTTTAAAAAATGGTTAAAAAAATTCCCTCCCCTGTTTATACATGTAATATTTATATTAACTGATTACACCGGGATGAATGCTAGAGTATTGTATAATATTACTGAACACAATTCAGAAAAAACATAAAACCTACTTAAACAGTGACATGATAATTATGCAATATTTAAATGCATGATGCCAAAACACACTTCAATATACATGTAATAGAATTTTTTTACACTGTTGTAAAGACTTTAGTTCTGTGTTCTTGACACATCAAATCAAAAAGGAACATAATTCTTAAAACATCAAACAGTAAGGTAAGTTCTTCAGCTACAAAATTTCATTTAGAAAATATAAATTAATTAATATTGGTATTTTAATATGTGCTTAAAACTATCTCAGATTGAGAAAATGTAATTGATAAAAATAGCTTGTTTCAAGTACCTGTGATTACTGGTTACTATTATTATTATTACTATTATTATAAGGCTTGACCTGGCAGTGTGGGGAAAGACAACAGTAACAATAACTTAACTCTCTTATTTCAGTTCATAAACACTATCTGTATGTTCCCTTAATGCTGGACAGTTTTTTCACTAACAATGTTTTCTTTTAACTTTTTTTCTATTTGTATCATACAACAATTAAATTTCTTTTGACAAATTTCAAGGCCCATCATTATAATTCATAGGATAAAAAGATGAACAAAATGTCGAAAGCTTGATTATTTTGTTAACTTATCTCTCGATTAAAAGGAACTCATACCAATTATTGTACAATACAAAAATTCACTGAACTTGTCTAACAGAATGATGAACAAAAATAATTGTCTGAGATAAGCAACTGAACAATTTGTTTTTTCAAGTTAATAAAATTTATTAATTTTATGGCTTATTTACATGTTAAATGACCCTGTATAAATAGTTGTTACCTTTTATCATCCTAGCTGCAATGTGAGGTTATAAAACACTATCATTTATACATGATCATATAACCTGTTATAAAAAAACCTTTATAACCTATTCATATTACAGAATAAATTTACAGAAGAGCCCAGTATATAGATTATATAAACATCGGGATTATCCAATGAAAATTGATGTTACAAACATGCAATATAATAAAATATGACAACCTGTGTGATATACTTGATGTAATCACTTCTTTTCATTCATATAGTTACAAGATTGGAAGAAATTGAGTTATTACAAGCACCAAATCAGATAAGTTTTATCATTTCAACAAACTTAACAATTCAACAATAAAAAAACTTGGATAAACATTATAGAAATAGTAATAGAAAATGAACATAACAATAAACTTTAGATACAGTTCATGAATCAACACAGTCTAATTCAAATCCAATGTAACTTTTAATTAAAGAAAATGATTTTATCAAGGTCAATAAATTAAGTTCTCATATGCAATCAAACAAGAATTCTTTAAAAAGAAAAATACTAGTAGTTGCAGTCATAAACAAAACTGCTTTGTAGATTTATAAAATTTACCAACAATATCAACAAGAAAATCAACAAAAGCTTTATCATGAAGCACCATGTTAGTATTTGTCTGTATAGACACTGACCATATATACATAAATATTCATCTAAATCAGTTATAAACAAGAGAATCAGAATACCTATATATATCCCTGACCCCACAATGACACAGCTAAAAAAAATATTGCCAAAAATGAGAAAAATGGAGAAGAAAAATACATGTATTTTTTTCAGTCTCAGAGAGTCTGACTTTTGACCCATCAACCTAAAACCTAACCAAAGGCTAGAAGTTGATAGAATCCACATTGAAAATCAAAACTTTACCATGAAAGAAACATTTGTATAATCAACATGCCCTGCTTTAATAACCCTTACCATGCTTGAACCTATAAGTGATTAGCTTGTGCCACCAGTATGGAGCCAGGTCAGCCTGTACATCAGGCCAGTGTGACTTGGCCTTATACTGTTGGTAGATAATCTTTTGTATCCATATAAATTTGAATGTAATGTTATAAAGTCAAAACAAGGCAAATCCACTACACAAATTCAAGAGGTAATTATATGTTAGTCTAGAATTTAGTTTGACTGTGGGTAATTGGTCAGTTATCACCCTTGCTTACATGAATCAAGTTATGTATATGCTGCAACAAGTCCCTGAAATGCCATTTTCTAATGAGCAAATAAATATACACAACATTACAGTTAAACCTGAATACATTGCTGGTGGCTGCACAATCTACCTTTGCAACCAGTACAAACCAAGATTACTGGGGGGGGGGGGGGGGAGGATAATTTTCTTGTCTAATCCAGATCTTGTCTTTATGTGGTTCAAGTCTTTTACAAAAGATAAAATTACACATGTTAATTACTCTGAGAAATACATTTACCAGCTTATTAAATTGTTGGCTTTTTCATTCTGCTATATAATTTTAAACTAGTGGAGCAAAGTCAAAATGACAACAGGACAACTGCTTGTAATATCCACTAACCTTTAAATGCCAGTAAAATCTATCTTTACAAAATATTCCACAATATTTAAACAATCATAATAATAAAAATAACAAATAATTTGCTTAAATCTGACTTAAATCAGGGAAACATTATTACAAGACAAGCATTTGGAGATAAGCTCAATGTAATTTTCTTGTCTAATCAGGAACAGAGACTGCCGTTTTGTCACGTTGATCATTGTCAATTAATTTGTTTTTTATCTTAAGTAAATACTTAAAGTAAGAGAAATATGTGTATAAGCCAAAATGATGTTTAAACTTAACACTCCTTTTTATATATTGGTCTCAACATAATGTGAAAATTTATCAATGAATTGTTTTCGTAATAATGGTATTATTATTACTAATGCTAATCAAATGATTGACTGTCCAATTTCTTGGTCACCAACATAAAACTGCTTATATAGTCTGTAATTATGTGTCTGGTTATATTTTGTCCCAGCTTAAATATAGAAAGCTTTTTCAACTGTCTTTGTTTTTGTTACACCATCACATACCATACATTCCTTCTTTGGTAAACATAACTTGTGGAATCCATGTCCTATGTTTAAAACAAAAACAGACTTTGATGTTAATAATTATTTCTTAAACAACCAATAAATTTATAAAATCTGAATGCTTAAAGCAGAATACGTCCTGAGAAGCAAAAAAAATCCAAAAGACAACTTTAATTCATAATGCAAAATATAATGTAGTTTGTTTTAAGTTAAACAGGGATATCAATATGTTAATTATGTAAATATTAAGACAAAACATTTACTATTTTTGACTTTAATATCTTAGTCAAAATGAAAATTAAAATCCTACAAAAATGATGTAATATCTGTTAAGGCAGTTACCTCAGTATGACATTTAGTGTAAATAAATATAGATCAAAATGATTTTAAAAATAATAATTATTTTTTCAATATAAGACATATTGTAATTTAATACTTTATAATAATTTAATAATTTAATTAAGAAAACCAAGTTAACAATATGGAAATACCATCAGGAAATACAGCGTAGACTAAACACTGACCCTGCGTGACACATGCAGTGAAATTTGTATAAGCATGATATTTTACTCATTAAAGCCATAACGTTATTTGCTATGGTAATAAAGGGCAAAATTCTGATATTGAATGTCTTGTCAATTTATCTGTACACAGGTGGTATTACTGAAAAACCCTTTTACAGGCCTGATATGGCAGTATTATTTGGAGGCCCCCAATATTTTTAAGTTCATGTTTTTACAAGGCAGGCAATAGTGATTTAAAATGAAAACTTTTTGTACCGAATGCCTAATGCCGACACTTAAGATTTTGTCTAGTTCACATATCTTCGTAATTTGATAACAATTTTCAAAAGATGCAAGTTAAAAACTAGCGTTAATATGAAAAAAACATGTACTGCTTTTGTATGGGAACTACTTGCATGCCAGTAATGACATAGGAAAACAATTTCCCAAAACATAGTATAGCAGCAGAACTATACTTTATATTATTACAATATTATTTATATCTTACCACATTTAAATATGAGAACCCCAGGTTCCTCATGTGACACAGTCTCTTTCAAGGAGATATAACAACATGGACATAACCTGTAGACATATCAATATAGAAAATGTTTATTTCATATCTTCTTGATAACATATCAAATTAGATTAGGACTTTTTTCTATTGATAGTGAAGACATAGTGATACCACAATAATATGAAGGGTAAATAGGGCTTGGCACTTCATTCCTGATTAAACATATGTTAATGTATTATGCCAAAGTATAATTATGATACCAAACAAGTATTTGTTTGTTTTGTTGGACTTTAAGTCACACCAACACAGGAAAAGTGATATGCAATTTTACAGCTTTCAGATGTTTTCTGAAAGAGGAAGACCTCAGATGTCCCTTTTTGTGTGCATTATGTAGGCAACAAGCAGGCATCAATGACCTTACATAAGCAACCTTAATAAGAAACAGCAGTAATTGTGTCAAAATTAGGTCCTATTTTATGATTCTCTAAAACTTCAATGGCACCGCAACAAAATTGTTCAATCATGCATAAACTGTTTGAACCATTATCCACATAATTATCTATAAAATATTTGACTAGCAATTTCTAACTCAAACTCTAAATATTCTTCAACTTTTTATGAATGAAACTTGGTTACTCGGAATACTAATTTTCTGTATCTTATAATGGAGCGTCATAGCTGAGTGGTATAGGTCATTGGCTTCAAACCGCTTGCCCCTCACTATTGTGAGTTAGAATCCAAACAGGCACTTTGGATTCTTCCATGTGAAAAAGCTATCCAGCCAGCTTACAAAATGTTAGTGTTCCTACTTTGGTGCCCGATAGTGCCTGAAATAATGCACGAAGATGTACCTGAGGTCTTTCTCCACCAGTAAAGCTGGAAGAAAGTAAAACACAAACAAAAAACAACAACAACAAACAAACAGATAAAAGTATAAAATATCACTTACAAATTAATCTTATTTTCAATGCCCCAGTGACATTCTGGATCTTCCACAGATGTTTCCGACACCTCTTTCTCCTTAATACTGTTGGCCTATAAAAAAATATTTATATAACATAAAATAAAAATAAACTATACATGTATAAATAATCCATTTTTCTAGAATTATTGTCATATGATCAGCACCTGACATTAGTTTGATATAAATCTATGACAAATTCAAATTATTATAAAAATGCTGGCCAGGAATTGCTTTCCTGTTACTGTTGGTTCAATTCTTGGTTTATATTGAAAAACTATCCACGAACTCTACTGAAAGTTTAATTATGCATGACAAGTGTAATAATTCACAAAGTCAAGGTCAATTATAAGTCAATATCAAGGTCATTCTTTTCTACTGGAAGGCCTTTTCTTTTCCAAAGGGTGGTGTCCAAGTATGAAGACAATCTATTTGGACATTTTTAAAAAAATGTCCAATGTTACCTGTCTTTGGACAGCAAAGGCAACAGCAACGGACATGACTTTGAAAAAGTCGAGCTAACAAAAAAAAAGTAGTAGGATATAAAATGAATGGATAGAGTAAATGTAAAACACAGATACCATAGAATGAAGAAAGTCTGTATTTGAACCAGTTGATTCTCCAGGGTGCATTTTCTTCTCTGAAACAGCCAGGTACTGCACCTGTCAACAAAAATAGTCAAAATACAATACAATACAATACAAATGACTTTATTGCATATAAAACATTACCATGTTTATAGCAAAAACATAAATATACATTTATGAAAATGAGTCATTGGAAATAAAACATGTACAGTGGATGTAAAGTATGTACAGTCATTTGTTTGGTAAACAAAAGTACAGTCAAAATTTAACCTTTGAAAAATATAATTTTGCATTACGATTGCTCAAAAAAATAAAATAAAATCTGTATTGCATTTAATCAGAGACGTTTTAGTCACTGCACATATATTACTGTGTTAAGGTATACACAACTTCTTTGATGTAAAGCAGTTATCTTGCTAGAAAGTAAGTATTTCTATTCAAATACAGCTGATGTGCAAATAACATTTTGTGAACTGACATCAGTGGATCCATAAAGTTACTATAAGATCTTAATAATAATGGTGTGCATAAAAACCATTCAAACAGAAGAATATATAACATGATATATGACCATCATTTAAATTTACATTTATCATAAAATATGAGTATAACGTTTACCTGTGGTGTTATAACTATAGGTCTATATGACCATAGATAGCTGTCTACCTTCTCCAACATGGAATGTAACACTGACCTATTAATATAAGATATTAAGAATTGTTGAATGAACATTCATTTTTAGTATTCAATATTGTTTATTCAGTAAAGAATAACTATTTAAACATTTCCCCCCACTAATTTAACCAATTATTCCTGTTTAAACAAAGGAAGTAAAATTTACTTTAAAGTCTCTCTATCTTTATTCACTCTATTTTATCAATAAATTATTTAAGTGACCGATTTTGTGTTGATTCTCATACTCACATAAAATGTTTGATATAAAACTTTGACTTCATTTTGTAGTAAATCCAATTCTTAAACAAGGTAAAAGGCATATTTGTGATAATGATTACAAGTAACTAATATATAACTTATAATATCCCTTGATGTTGTTAAAGCTAGGTGCAAAAAGATCCACAAGTCTAACATTTCTAAAAGATGCCCTCACCTTCTTTTTTATATAATCATGTTTCATGCAACACATCATCTTGTAAACCTTACATAAGTTTAAATTATCTCCCTTGCACAGAATGATTAACCAAACAAATGATATACATTTCACACATTCATAATGAGTTTATAAAATAATGCTGATCATCAACTGAATATTCAATAATAATACAATCAAATGTTTACATGTTTGCCATACCTTTGTTGTTTTTGCACCATTCCAGAGAGTAAACAGACTTGGTAAAACTCTTTTGACAAAACTCCCTCTGGTAGGTTTTGCTTTTCAAGCAGGGAAATAGCCTCCTCTGGACCTACATTTCTGACCAATAGAATTGCCAGATTGTTCCATGTGATCAGTTTTGACCAATCACAGCTAACTTCCTGTGCCGTCTGGTTCCCTGCTTGATTTATCTGCTGGTAAGCACCAAGTACTCTCTGCCAGTCAGGTACTGAGAGTGGCACATAACCTGAATAATAGTTGAGAAATAATCATCTTAACAAATTTTAACAAACTTGTCACTATTCCCTTAATAAACAAACAGGTCAGTGGAGTGAATTATTACATCATATATGTATTGCATAAAGAAGAAATGCTTTGAAGTCATGTGACTTCAATAAACCAAATGATGCCAGGAAAATTTCTTCTCTGGTAAATGAATTTTAACATGATTTTATCAATTTCAATTTTAATAACATTCTAAAAATGCAAATAGATATCAAATGTTCTTGTGTTATAGTATAATAGTGCATGGTTTATCACTCAGATGCTTTGTAACTTATCACAGAAGCCTATCACAGCCTTTGTGATATATTACTGCACATTTAAAGTTGAACCCTGCATTCTTCAACCATGCACTAAAAATAATATCTATTGCCTAAACACATATGAACAAAATAATAAACAAAATAAATAAATAACAGCTGTCAGAAAAACAGGTCATTTTCTTTCATAAAAGTGAAAAATAAACATCCATCTTCTACAGAACATTCCTGTGATTCTTCAAAATGTCCCTGGCAATAATACACTGTAATTTTATAAATAATGTTGTGACATCAAATCATTTATCATACCAAGTTCATTGTGTCCTGTCAACAGGTCAATATCTCCAAGCTGTAATACCAGATCTAAATGATCTGATCCACGACCAATCTTTTTCAGTAGCTTCAAGACGCCAACCCAATATCTGCAAAAATGTCGAGTCATGTCAAGAAGTGAATGAAGATTGGTATTTTTTTTCAAATATAAGAACATATTAAAAATTTTGTGTAAGAAGCGTATCAAACAGTAAAATCATTACAAAACATTAAGAGGGTTACTCATTTATTACTCAAACATATAGATTACTTATTGATGATAATAGCAGGGGGGATAGGTGGGGGGGATGAAAAATAAAACCCACCAGAAATATCTTCATGTAAAATGACAACTTCACAGCTTTTGTCAAATTTTGCCATTTAGTAGCAGGTAGCTTTGTTCAAGCAATTCATTAAATTTGTTTTGATTTGATTTGCCATTCATCATTATTCGGGAAAATTTTAAAATATAAACTGACTGAATAGTGAAAAATACAGACAATCTTCAGATGAGACAGATGTGTCTGCTGATGTTGGTCTGCTCACGTCACATCGGTAGAATCTGTTGTGCCTAGCAGGCCATAAGTTGAGATTTTCTTTGACAGGTTATATGGCCTAATATAATCACTTGTTAGATTATATGACCTTAGCCACAAGGAGAGGGTTTAAGTAGCAAACAACCATTTTTACATAGAAATATTTTAACATTTGAAAAGTCTTTATTATAAATTCAATATACTGCAAAATACATTTTTCTGAGGTTAAATGAAAATTTATTTATAGTTTTGGAGCATCTATGTATGTAAGTAACAAATGTCACAGTTTTCTAAGAAATCTGACGATATAATCATGCAGTAATAAATGTAACATTAAGCCTGATCTGAGATAACAACAGTGTCATATACCCATGTTTTCTCAGAATTTCCAGCACAATTTGTTGATCTCTGGCAGCTTGTATATTCTTGATTAACTGGTCAATAAGAATTTCATTCTTTCTTTTCACCTTGTGACCCATACACCTGTCATTATAAACAATAAATTCTATTCTATTAAAGGGACACAACTGAGGTCAAAATTTGAAAATCTGACTAATATCAAAATGCAACTATGATATTTTGTGTGATTTTTTTAAAAAATTATTTAAATGTTGTTTATTTTAAGGTCATCTTCCACAATAAAAATGATTATTCAGGAAAAAAGAAGTGAGCAAATGATCTGAAATTTTGCCCCAAAATTATTGGTACAGACCTACATCAAATGATGTAAAACCTCAGTGGAGTTCCTTTAACATTTTATGCTCAAACATTGGCAAACAAATGTGCCCTTCATAGCACCAAATGAGATAGAAACAGTTAGAGTAAAAGTTAAATTTCAGAGTGGAACCTCGATCACTCGAAAAACCATGATTCTTTGACTCAATGTTTAGGTATGACCTCTTTATTTTAAATGGTTCTACCTAGACAGCTTGAACTTTGATAATTTGAACTGTCCTGGTGTTCTGGGCTTAATTATTCCACAAATGTGTATATTACCGCTATATTCACATGTCTCATATTAATTTGTATCTATGAGAATTGTTACCAATTTCTGTATTCATTTTATTATAATATTTCATAATAAATATACTGGCATGCGAGCAGTTCCCGTACAAAAATCGTAGTTACTCAAACATTATTTTTTATTACGCTCACTCACCAAAATTTGAATTTTACACATAAATATTCGGCTCGTCACACAAATCATGGAAATTCCATCATGTTCTAAACATAGAATAACCCTTACTTATGAGGCCTCATATGGGGTACCGAAATTATTGATTATTTTGTATGAAGAGGAGTAGTTCCCGTACATAAAATCTAACCCATTGTAATTATACAATTTTATTATATCGGACCTATTTTTCATTTACAATTGTTGAACAGACCATTATCTAAGAAATAAATAGATGTAATTCAGGAAATAGACCGTAGACTAAACGCGGGTATCTATTACCCGGTACCGTTACCCCAACGCATTCACATGCAATAGCATGCTTGTATACATGATATTTTACTCATCAAAGTCATAAAATTATTTTAAATAGTAATATTGGTCAAAATTCTGATAATTAAACAAGTTTTAATCACATTGCCTACTTATCTGTAAACAGGTGGTATTAGTGGAAAACCCTTTAACAAGCCTCACGTGTAAATATTTTTGCGCATGCGCGCAAGGACGGAATCCCCCAGAGAAAACAAGGTCACGTTTTGACGACGCACAGGTGAAAGTGATTTAAAATGAGACTTTTAATGCGTATTGCCGAACTGACACTTAGATTTTGTCTCGTTTATGTATCTGCTTGATTTGAAATGAATTTTTAAAGAATGCAAGTAAAAATCAAGCGTTTAAATGAAAAATACGGGTACTGCTTCTGTACGGGAACTGCTCGCATGCCAGTAGCACATAACTATGTATTGTATGACAAAAGTTACAGGTTTTGCGTCAGATACACCTGACACACACTAATTTAAGTGTCTTCAAAGTTTGACTAAGAAGTAAGAGTTACCTAGGACATCCATTTTCATCCATCACAGCAGAAGTATCATTATCTTCAGATAACAACATTTCTAATAATACAACACATGTGTCTTTATGATTACCAATGTCCATTAATACTTGCTTTCTGAAACAGAAAAGAAAACAAATATTCTCAGAGTGACCACCCTTTCAAGTATGCCAGAGAAGCATCAGAGAATTTGATATTATATATACAGGTGTGTTTGTAAAATTCAAATGCACCTATGTCATAACTGTGAATAAATAAAGTTGACAGTTATAGTGAATGTCTCAAATTTGAAAATTTGACCTTGGAAGCAAAGGTCATTTAGAGGTGAAAGTTACATTAAAAAAAAATATAGAAATTATCATTCAGATATTCTTATATTCTTATAAAATACCTCTTGAAGAAAATGTTGATAGAGTTCAAAGTGATGAACATTTACATGATGAGCAATTATAGTTTGTTCTAGAACAATTTCTTTTTTGCTATATAGAGATACAATATATGTCATATCGGATCATGTACATGTGTCTCACAAAAAATTACAACATCTATAAATTATTCATTTGTGGTTTGAGATCACATATGAAACTAAATATATTAACCCTTGCCCCCATGAGCATATTGTGAAAAATGGCCGTTTTCACTGAAAAGCCTCCTGTTACAAGTTCAAACTGCTATGGAACTATGAAAAATGCTTCAATACTAATCAAACTTGGCACAAGTGTTGACTGGCCCATTGCCTTTGTATTGACATGCTCAGTCTTAAATTTCCTGTTACCATGGCAACGAGGGGACATCTCAAAATTGCCAAAAATCACTATTTTGCCTCGATTTTTTCCATCAAAATTTATTTCAAAGTGCTGCAACTTCTCAAGGGATTGAGATAGAGTCAAAGGCTTTTCAGCGTTGGTTAAAAGTTACATTATGATCGACCTGGGGTCATTTTTAGCCTCTCACAAGTCCAAATTTTTCTTGGCGATGAGGGGGACTCCGCCCCCTTCAAACCCCCCTAACAGAAGGGGGCACATCCCCCTTCTGGCAACCCCCTGATTTATCTTTTGGATGGGGGGCGGCGCCGAAAAAGTGCTCAATTTTTTTAGCAACATTTCTCAAAAGAAAACTTATGTTTGGGGCCCAAATAGGACATTTTTTAACTATTTGAGGCCTTAAAAAAGGGGGGGGGGGGTCGAAAGTGCGTTGTTTCGCGTATATATGTGGTAAAGGGTAAACAAAAATTAAATGGTATAATAGATCTTCTATTAATGGCAAATTCACTTTAATATGTTAAAATAAGTTATGATGTGTTCAAATATGAAGGCTCTAGCTTATAGAATGACCATGTTATGGTTAAGGTTGAAACTACCACTTGTAGAAAGTAAACCTACAGTGAGTGCATCAACAATGATAACATTAGTATATAATATGCTGGCATAAATACTGAACTATCTCCAGAACAAATCAGAGTTTGTTATACAAGTGATAATGAAAGGTACAGAAAAGAAAACTTTACTTGTTGTCAAAATATTAGTAGGTCAAAAGTACATTTTATCTTTATGCAACAACAACCTACATTTAAATATGTTAAATCTGTAGATATTGATAAATAAATTTACTTGTGTTTCAACTTCACATACTGTACTTGCCAAAATGTACAATTATGATGCAGCATTTGATAGGAAAAGGATGCCAGAAACAATATAGATATGACAATACTGTTAAATGTTTTTATGTTTGGTTTCAAGTCATATCAACATTGTAATGGTCATATGGTGACTTTCTAGATAATATACACTAGTGTAGGAAGATCCCAGGTGCCCCTCTGTGCATTATTTAAAGAATGCACCTGAGTAGAACCATAAATCTTCTATAAGCTAGCTGGATGAACTTCCTCCCATGAAAAATCTGAAGTCCCTGGTGGGATTCAAACTCAGCAGTGAAAGTCAAGTGCTTCAAAGACAGCAACCTTAACCAATCAGCCCCAATTTCCTCTAAGTATAAGACAGATGGTTACCTCAAAGAGGAGTTTTCATTCAGGGTCACTAGGACCATATATTGTTTGAATACTGTTTCCATGGTAACCTGATGGTATCTACACATGTACATTACATCTAGGGGATGTACACTGGGATGACATCTCACACAAATATCCACAACAGAATCTGGTTTGCTGCGAAACAAACTGAAAAACAATTTATAGTAATATATAAAATACATATCTTAATACAACAGTGTAACAAAATGTCTACTTAAATGATATTTTCTTTTAACCTCCTCATTTTACTTTAACCTCATTTAATGTGCGTAATTCCCCTGCTTTGAATGTGATATAATTTATTGTTAGTTGTAGGGATTTCAGTATCAAATTCTAAAGTTAAAAGCTAATATAACACAAATTGGAAGGCTGGCCTGCCTACATATAGTGGAACCCCATTGTATCGTGCTATTCATTGTATCAATATATTTACAAATCATTCAATTTATTTGCAAAATGAACTAGCTACTGATTGTTTACATTTACAACAGTGTCACGAAAATCTTTCGCATTTGTTTTGTGCCATAACAATGATCAAAAACATGTTTCCAGTACCGTCAGACTTTGTAGATAATAAAAAGACTTATAAATAGTGTGTTCTTATTAAATGTACATTAACTGTCTGTTGAAAGTTCCTAAATTTATGCTGACATTTTAAAACAGACATCCTTAATTCTAATTGACTGAAAAATCTAGCAAACACTAAAAAGATGGGTCAGGCTTCCCAATCTTTGACTAACTGAGCGATTCTCACAATGCATCGATATAATGGTGTGACCTAATTCTTCAACCTGTTTGACATGTCTGTAAATATCCGTATATTCCAAAGCTAAAAACTATATATTAGTGATGTTTGCCATGTAAATATTATGACAAAAGAAAAAAAATAAATGATAAAAAATAAAGATTCGGGGAGATTTAAATTTTTTAACTGCAGTTGTGATTTATGAGTAATAGATCGATACAACGGGGTTCCAGGCTACTGTAAGCTTAACACTTTCATTGCACACGTTAATAAACCTTAATGTAACCTTAATCGTAAAGGACTTGTGTAATGCACATTTAGTTCTGCAATTTTCCTGTTATTTTAATGCTTCCAAGGATCACCCTTTTTAGATTTGAATTAGGAATTGTACATGATGAAAAAGAAGGGTTTAGTCATAATATATGAAAGTTAAGAAGCCAACAGAAATAAAGTTTGGTCCAACGTTAATAACCTATGTACCAGCTGACAGGCTCTTTTGATGACATTGAAACAGATTGCAAAACAATTATGTTGACCTCAGAACACCTTATTTAAAGTACTGTACATATTAACTCTTCTAGGGCACCATTACCACTCAGTCACCTTGGGAAGAAATTGCACTAGAAACATTCTTTTATGATAGAATATATGAAATAATTTATTTACACAAACTGTCCCACTTACTTTGATATGTGTCCTAGCAACATGGCACCTTGACCAATACCTGACTCATTCTTCAACAGATGTCGTATAATAGATTTCTCATCTACACCATACCTCTCACCATCATACCTTGCTTTACCTGAAATTATACAAGATCATTATTGTGTTGTTTGTCTTGTTTATATGATATACTTTGCATAGTCTTTTTTTCCTTCTACAAATCTCTTTTGAGGCGTGTTTTTTACCAAGAAGGAATCTGGCCAGTCAAAGTTAAATAATTTTAAGTGGAGTTATCATCATCACCTACTAAAACCAACAAATGATTAGATGGTATAGAAAATTAGGATAACAAGTCACCATTGATGATACAAGCAAGGGCACAGATATTCTGACCCATATGGTTTATTCTAAGGACCAATATAAATACACCTAACACAAACAATGTATTATATTTCTATAATATGATATAATTCACGTTGCATTATTATACTGACTTTGTTCTTAGACCTTACACAAATCTTATTATATCTATATAAAGTATGAAACTTAAGTTATTGGTGTGTTCTGCCAAAAATCTGTACCAATCTAAGGACGAAAACACTCATTATTTTTTTCTTCAATATACTGTATTAAGATCAATTTTTACACTTCCCTAATATTAAGAATGTAATGAAAACAAATGGTGGATGTTATAAAGTAAGTGAGAGTTTCTGTAGCCAAAAGTTGAAAAAGTTTTCCAAACTTATATAATTATTGCATATGATAACCACGGCAACAGACAGCGTGAGCACTGCTTGTTTTATTTCTACTGAAATTTAACTCTAACTAAATCTTGCAAAACGGTCATATCAGTCTACTAGATATTTTTTCTATAAATAAAGAATGTTACCTTCCATACAAGTCAATAAGGCACTCCATAACTCAAAACAAGATTTTCCATTCACGGTTTCCTCCCTTATTCTACCAACATTTAGGTAGGGAAAATAACATCGGACAAAAAATGAAATTGCTTTATCCTGCATTTCACCACATTCTGTTGTACTGACTTTCTTTTGTTCATTAAGTGCTGCAGAATTATCTGTAAGATATTCATGACTTTTTTCACCAACATAAGCTTTGTCCCCATGGTCAGTTTTACTTAAGTTAGTTTCACAACACTGAATATCTTCACTTTCTATAGTTGCCTCCTTGTTTACCTCTATTGTTTCATTGTCAACCTCTTTATCTTCAGTGCTATTATGCTTCACATTATTCGTCATATCCACATTCACAACATTATCTATTCCATTCAAATCAGAAACAATTAGTCCTGTATCAGGTACTCTAAGATTGTTCTCAAAGCTTTTTGGGCAATGAAATTTAAATTCTATAAACTTCAAAATTTCACCATGACAACCAACATCAAAACAAGCTTGGGTTAATTCTGAAACATCCTGGAGGAGATAACTGGAAAGACACAATGGATCAGTGAGGTAACAGAAATCCTTATCACTGAGTATTTTAATTACTGAATCAGATATTCTAACATCATTTGGATCCTTTGACTCATTGTTTTCTGTATCTATGACAACACCTGACTCACAGTCTGATCTCAACAGTCTTACATCAGCTGCTTCACCTGGGAGATCAATTTGGTTTGGTTCCCCATTTTTATCAGTCACAACTGTATGACAGTCATTAACTTTAGAACCAGTCTCCAACACTGCTTCACCTTCTAAATCTTTATATTTAATCAGATGAAACTCTTGAAAAGTTTTATTCAAAACTGTGACCCAGTCTAACAAAACTGCATAGACTGCTTCTGAATTTGTAAGAATTTCTAAATCCTGTAAAGTTTCTTTGGTTTTTAATGTAATTTGTTCAAGTTCTTCACAATCTACAATGGCTTTTTCCTTACTGTCAACATTACTAATATCTTCTGAGTTTGTAGTAATTTGATCCTCTGTATCTCTAAAATTTTGTCCAAACTCTGGATTTGTCATTAAGATATCTGGATTGTCATTATACAGGACATCTCCGGAATGTAGGTAAGCTTCTGAACCCTGTAAAATAAGTAACATGCTTGATTTACAACAAATAATTTAACAATGAAACTTATTTATTTTAGCTTGAATTGATTAAAGCTTGAAGCTTACCAGAACCACTCTAAAGTCCACTTGTTGAAAATACCTGTATGTATATCAGATGAGGATACATAATAATGAAGTTTCACTGATACCAATAAGTTTTTATTTAACCCATTACCTGCTGTATTTGTGTACATGAATTGTCTTGCTTTGAATTTGGACTAGTCTATAAAAGGGTTAATGGATTTTAAATATCACTCTACAAAAATTAAATCTACCAATAGTATATAAACTGGTCAGATTGTATGATCATGATTTAATACAATTTGATGTAGGTCTATAACAGTAAATTTCGGACCATAAGCTCATTTTGTTCTGTAAGAATAATTGTTTTCATGCAATATTCTCTATGATTTAATTGTATGAACCTGTCTACTTTAAAGACTCAATAGGGAAAGCATCAAATAAGAAATCCATGGGACTGGTTCAACCCTATATGGCCATACAAAATTTCTCCGTGACAACTGATCTCGGTCCAATGGTAATGTGTCTCTCATCACTGATTAAGATAAACATTGCCATTAGTAGTCAGTCACTTTGTAATTATTCGTTTTCCAGGAAAGTGAGTTACGTGAATTGGCCGCCAAGATATCACTTGAAAATATGCTTAAATCAGAATTAAAAACCAGAAAAGCAAACAAACAAAACAATTAAATTGTATGTACATTAAAAACCAAGTGACATTATTGTTAAAAAGGAAAAGTAGGTATATTCACCTGAGACAAATTTTCAGCGAACTCTTTAGCCTTGGAGAGGAGGTTTTTCTCCTTGATGTTTCTAATCAAATTCTTGGTACTTGATGTAACCTTTGTCTGCATTCTGAAATTATGTAAAATCAGTAATCATTGTAATGCCTGTCAGCACATTTTCTATTGTTTTGTTTCTAGAAATCTTTGTTTTGTACTGCAAGTATATAAATGGGTAATTTCATTGATAAATAACTAACTGAAAAATAACAAACTAGTAAAAACTAGAAATGTGTCCATAGGACACGGATGCCCCCACACGCCACTGTTCTGTCAATCTTATGACTCTAGGTCAAATATTTTTTGGACTACATGTGCCACAAGTTGAAAACTAAAAATCAACAAAGGGCCATAATTCTGTTAAATTTGGTCGCAGCAAAAATTCCTTCCTTTACTACCATCTACACATTAAGGTTGTTAATCCCTGGAAGTTTAAGCAAAATCTGCCATCCGGTTTAAGAGGAGTTGCATTCACAAAATTTCAACATAGTATATAATGAAAAAATCAAAAAAGGGCCATAATTCTGTTAAATTTTGTTGCAGCAAAAATTCCTTTCTTTATTACCATCTACACATTAAGGTTGTTCATTCCTGGAAGTTTAAGCAAAATCTGCTATTCGGTTTAAGAGGAGTTGCATTCACAAAATTTCTACATAGTATATAGTGAAAAAATCAACAAAGGGCCATAAATCTGTAAAATTTGGTCGCAGCAAAAATTCCTTCCTTTACTACCATCTACACCTGAAGGTTGTTCATCCCTGTAAGTTTAAGCAAAATCTGCCATCCGGTTTAAGAGGAGTTGCGTTCACAAAATTTCTACATAGTATATAGTGAAAAAATCAACAAAGGGCCATAATTCTCTTAAATTTGGTCGCAGCAAAAAATCCTTCCTTTACTACCATCTACACATAAAGGTTGTTCATCCCTGTAAGTTTAAGCAAATTCTGCCATCCAGTTTAAGAGGAGTTGCGTTCACAAAATTTCTACATAGTATCTTGTGAAAAAATGAACAAAGGGCCATAATTCTGTTAAATTTGGTCGCAGCAAAAATTCCTTCCTTTACTACCATCTACACATTAAGGTTGTTCATCCCTGTAAGTTTAAGCAAAATCTGCCATGCGGTTTAAGAGGAGTTGCGTTCACAAGATTTCGGGACGTACGGACGGACGGACTGACGGACGGACGCACTGACGGACTGACGGACGGACGGACAAGTGCAACGCTATATGCTCCCACATTGTGGGGGCATAAAAATTAATAATTAAGTTTAACAAAATTAGAACAAATACCATAGGTTTAAAAAAAAACAACACCATTGAAATCACACAGTTATTTTTCTATATACTTACTTGTTTCTCAATTGTTGTAAAGTTTTTCTTGGAGCAGATGAAGATTTGCCTTTCTCCCAGGAGCGAGATAGAGTGCTGTCCCTTGATGAATACTCATCAGTTTGGAGGTTATCAACACTTACAGTGAACTCTCCACTCAAACCAAATTCTCCACTAATGGATGAAGGTGAACCAACACTCACAGATTCTGAGTTCTGAAGTGAAGAATATGGTAAAAAAACAGTCATTGTTAAAATCTTGTACTTTTTATTTATCCATTCAGTATATGACTTACACAAGTCAATAAACACAACTATTCTTAATGCTTGATATTAAAACAAGAACCTGAACAAAATGCAAGAGTTGTTTAAGTTCACAAACAAGTATAATTTAGTCAAAGTCTATCAATGCTTGACATGCTGGCCACAACTGCTGGCCACAACTGAATCTACCTAACAGAGCAGACCACGATCAGCCGACATATTTGCATAATCTGATCATGGTCTGTTCTATTCCCTACTCAGTCAATACATATTCTAGAATTTTCCCTAAAACAATGAATGGTTTTGTCCAGTTTGAATGATTAACAAGACTATTTAAGATATTTAGTGGGGTGATGGTGAAACAAGAACCTGATTAATGGTTTTTAATAATTCTAAGTTCAAAATTCATGATTGAGTTATAGTGATCAATAATTACTACTTTCAATTTTTTTTTATTTTTCAAAAAGGGCTATGTTCAGACCAAATCCATGCTAGAATTATGAGTCTTTGATAATGACTTGCAATTAGCATCACAAGGAAGCTAACTGTGGGATCATTCTGTGAGGGTAGAGACTGATCTTACATGCAAAATTGTATCATGAATTCTTTGTCCTTGCAAAAGGGCTATAATTCAGTCAAAATCAATGCTAAAGTTATAGGTCTTATATAGTAACCTCCAAATATCCATATTTAAGTGGCTGATGAGATATGAGCAATTTAAGTTGCACCAGTGTTATGTCAACTAACTGGTAATTAAGATTGACCAGCTTTTCTCTTTAATGGCTGCAAATATCTCTATCTATTTAATGGTTGCACAGGTCTGTTATTATCTCTTCAACAGAGGTCATTATTATTTTTTCAACTTTAGGTCTGTTATTATCTTTTAAATAGTGGCACAGGCCTCTTAAATGGAAACACAGTTAACATTATGTTTCATTAAATAAGTTGAACAAAATAAACAATATGGCAGTTCTTCTATTACCTGTAAATGTATTATCTTATTTGTTTATTATACACATGATGAACTTTATTTGAAGAAGAATGCTTTAAATGTTATTAAAAATATTGAAAAAGCAAAGTAAAGTGACAAAAAAACCTAGGAATTCATAATGCCAAACTTTGTTATATATTTTAGAAATTTATTTTATATTCAAATGGTAAATTAAACAACACAAGGGAGGTGGTTGGGTGGACAAATGTCTGTTATTATCTCTTTAATGGCAACACAGGTTTGCTATCATTTCTTTAATGGTGGCATAGGTATGTTAATAACAAAGCTATGGATTCAAGGTTTAAACATGTACCTTATTTACCTTATTTATATTCAAACCATCTGGTGTGTCCTTTCCAGAGCTAGTAGTTTCCTCCATTAATACAGAATCATTAGAATATAAAGATATGGAATCTTCTTCCTTTAAACTATGAACAGATCCATGTGGTGATACGGCCCTGTCTGTAATAAAACAAATATATCACTAATATATGAATATATACTGTGCCCCTCATAGTTCACAATACTAAATGCTTTGACAACAACAACAAAAACATAAGGAAAACAAACAATGAACTTATGGTACAAAAATTATTTATAAGCTGTAACATTAAGGTATTTTCTGCTGTATGACACAGGGAAACAACAACATATTCAATCAAAATCAGATTTAATGGACCAGACGTAGACCATAGGTCAACCATTTTAAAAACACCATGTCACTCAAGTTTTTTCATGTTTCACTTAAAATTACAAAAATTTATTGCTCAATTTTAAATATTGAAACAATCTTTACTTTGTAACTCAAAAATTATTTTTTTCAACAAATTATAGGAACAATTTGAAAATGATGGTTGCTTCAGACATATTTCAGACATATGCATATATTTTAACTGACTATTGTGACTTTTTGCAGAAAATTTTTAAAAGTTTTTTCTGTTTCATTTTGTGAAAGTTAAAAAATATAAAAAATTCCCGAACGTTTTTACAATTTCCCTTTTTATTAAAAAAAAGGAATTTTCATAAAATTTTAAAAAAAAAAGGACAAAACAAAAAGTGGGGTAAAATTCCCCCCTTAAGGGGATTTGTCCCCAAAGTGAGATTTTAATGACTTTAAAGTCAAAATTTTAAGACATTTTTTCTTCATCAGGAACAATTCTTTACATTAAAAATACATGTATGTATAAATTGTTAATTTACTGCATTGAGCCGACATGCTTTTGCTACAAGGGTCACACAAAAACTAGTTATAACAGATGTACAGAAACATTCTAATGTGTTGACTTATAAACTGAAGTTGTCTTAAACCTATGTTAACATAGTTTAGTTATAACAAGAAAATAATGTTGGATCAGGGCAATATTCGCACCTGCTTATAAACTGTCAAAGACAGATCTTACCTTTATTTTCTGGAGTTCCGAGACTCATTGATCTTGTTATCCTCACTGAAAATATATACATGTAACATAATACATGCTATATTACTTTATATGTATACATGTGATTTATGGCATTATTGCAGAAAACGTGTCAGCTTTGTTTTCATAGAATGACCAACTGTACAAAGACTGGTCAGACAGGATGACCAACTGTACAAAGACTGGTCAGACAGAATGACCAACTGTACAAAGTCTGGTAAGACAGAATGACCAACTCTACAAAGACTGGTAAGACAGGATGACCAACTGTACAAAGTCTGGCAAGATAGAATGACCAACTGTACAAAGTCTGGTCAGACAGAATGACCAACTGTACAAAGACTGGTAAGACAGGATGACCAACTGTACAAAGTCTGGTAAGATAGAATGACCAACTGTACAAAAGTCTGGTCAGACAGAATGACCAACTGTACAAAGACTGGTCAGACAGAATGACCAACTGTACAAAGTCCAGTGATACAGAATGACCAACTGTACAAAGTCTGGTAAGACAGAATGACCAACTGTACAAAGTCCAGTTAGACAGAATGACCAACTGTACAAAGTCCAGTTAGACAGAATGACCTACTGTACAAAGTCTGGTCAGACAGAATGACCAACTGTACAAAGTCTGGTCAGACAGAATGACCAACTGTACAAAGTCTGGTCAGACAGAATGACCAACTGTACAAAGTTTGGTCAGACAGAATGACCAACTGTACAAAGTTTGGTCAGACAGAATGACCAACTGAACAAAGTCTGGTCAGACAGAATGACCAACTGTACAAAGTTTGGTCAGACAGAATGACCAACTCTACAAGGTCCATTCAGACAGAATGACCAACTGTACAAAGTGCAGTCAGACAGAATGACCGACTGTACAAAGTCTGGTTAGACAGAATGACCGACTGTACAAAGTCCGGTTAGACAGGATGATCTACTGAACAAAGTCTGGTTTATAAGACAGGATGATCTTCTGTACAAAGTCCAGTCAGACAGAATGACCGACTGTACAAAGTCTGGTAAGACAGAATGACCAACTGTACAAAGTCTGGTAAGACAGAATGACAAACTGTACAAAGACTGGTAAGACAGAATGACCAACTCTACAAAGCCTGGTCAGACAGGATGACGAACTGTACAAAGTCTGGTCAGACAGAATGACCAACTGTACAAAGTTTGGTCAGACAGAATGACCAACTGTACAAAGTCTGGTCAGACAGACTGACCAACTGTACAAAGTTTGGTCAGACAGACTGACCAACTGTACAAAGTCTGGTCAGACAGACTGACCAACTGTACCAAGTTTGGACAGACAGAAGTACCAACTGTACAAAGTTTGGTCAGACAGAATGACCAACTGTACAAAGTCCGGTCAGACAGGATGACCAACTGTACAAAGACTGGTCAGACAGAATGACCAACTGTACAAAGTCCGGTCAGACAGAATGACCAACTGTTCAAAGTCTGGTCAGACAGGATGACCAACTGTACAAAGACCGGTCAGACAGAATGACCAACTGTACAAAGTCTGGTCAGACAGAATGACCAACTGTACAAAGTCTGGTCAGACAGAATGACCAACTGTACAAAGTCTGGTCAGACAGAATGACCAACTGTACAAAGTTTGGTCAGACAGAATGACCAACTGTACAAAGTTTGGTCAGACAGAATGACCAACTGTACAAAGTCTGGTCAGACAGAATGACCAACTGTACAAAGTCTGGTCAGACAGAATGACCAACTGTACAAAGCCTGGTCAGACAGAATGACCAACTGTACAAAGCCTGGTCAGACAGAATGACCAACTGTACAAAGACTGGTCAGACAGAATGACCAACTGTACAAAGCCTGGTCAGACAGGATGACCAACTGTACAAAGACTGGTCAGACAGAATGACCAACTCTACAAAGTCTGGTCAGACAGAATGACCAACTGTACAAAGTCTGGTCAGACAGAATGACCAACTGTACAAAGTCTGGTCAGGCAGAATGACCAATCGACAAAGTCTGGTCAGACAGAATGACCTACTGTACAAAGTCTGGTCAGACAGGATGACCAACTGTACAAAGTCTGGTCAGACAGGATGACCAACTGTACAAAGACTGGTCAGACAGAATGACCAACTGTACAAAGTCTGGTCAGACAGAATGACCAACTGTCAACAAAGTCTGGTCAGACAGAATGACCAACTGTACAAAGACTGGTCAGACAGAAATGACCAACTGTACAAAGCCTGGTCAGACAGGATGACCAACTGTACAAAGACTGGTCGGACAGAATGACCAACTGTACAAAGTCTGGTAAGACAGAATGACCAACTGTACAAAGTCTGGTCAGACAGAATGACCAACTCTACAAAGTCTGGTAAGACAGAATGACCAACTGTAACAAAGACTGGTAAGACAGAATGACCAACTGTACAAAGTCTGGTCAGACAGAATGACCAACTGTACAAAGACTGGTCAGACAGAATGACCAACTCTACAAAGTCTGGTCAGACAGAATGACCAACTGTACACAAAGACTGGTCAGACAGGGATGACCAACTCTACAAAGTCTGGTCAGACAGGATGACCAACTGTACAAAGTTTGGTCAGACAGAATGACCTACTGTACAAAGTCTTGGTCAGACAGAATGACCAACTCTACAAAGTCTGGTCAGACAGAATGACCAACTCTACAAAAGTCTGGTCAGACAGAATGACCAACTGTACAAAAGACTGGTCAGACAGAATGACCAACTGTACAAAGTCTGGTCAGGCAGAATGACCAACTCTACAAAGTCTGGTCAGACAGAATGACCAATTCTACAAAGTCTGGTCAGAACAGAATGACCAAATGTACAAAGTCTGGTCAGACAGAATGACTAACTGTACAAAGCCTGGTCAGACAGAATGACCAACTGTACAAAGTCTGGTCAGACAGAATGACCAACTGTACAAAGTCTGGTCAGACAGGATGACCAACTGTACAAAGTCTGGTAAGACAGAATGACCAACTGTACAAAGCCTGGTAAGACAGAATGACCAACTGTACAAAGTCTGGTCAGACAGAATGACCAACTGTACAAAGTCTGGTCAGACAGAATGACCAACTGTACAAAGCCTGGTAGGACAGAATGACCAACTGTACAAAGTCTGGTCAGACAGAATGACCATCTCTACAAAGTCCGGTCAGACAGGATGACCAACTCTACAAAGTCTGGTCAGACAGAATGACCAACTGTACAAAGTCCGATCAGACAGAATGACCAACTCTACAAAGTCTGGTCAGACAGAATGACCAACTGTACCAAAGTCTGGTAAGACAGAATGACCAACTCTACAAGGTCTGGTCAGACAGAATGACCAACTGTACAAAGTCTGGTCAGACAGAATGACCAACTGTACAAAGTCTGGTCAGACAGAATGACCAACTCTACAATGTCTGGTCAGACAGAATGACCAAACTCTACAATGTCTGGTCAGACAGGATGACCAACTGTACAAAGACTGGTCAGACAGGATGACCAACTCTACAAAGTCTGGTCAGACAGAATGACCAACTCTACAAAGTCTGGTCAGACAGAATGACCAACTCTACAAAGTCTGGTCAGAACAGAATGACCAACTCTACAAAGTCTGGTAAGACAGAATGACCAACTCTACAAAGTTCTGGTAAGACAGAATGACCAACTCTACAAAGTCTGGTCAGACAGAATGACCAACTCTACAAAGTCTGGTAAGACAGAATGACCAACTCTACAAAGTCTGGTCAGACAGAATGACCAACTCTACAATGTCTGGTCAGACAGAATGACCAACTCTACAATGTCTGGTCAGACAGAATGACCAACTCTACAAAGTCTGGTCAGACAGAATGACCAACTGTTCAAAGTCTGGTAAGACAGAATGACCAACTCTACAAAGTCTGGTCAGACAGAATGACCAACTGTTCAAAGACTGGTCAGACAGAATGACCAACTCTACAAAGACTGGTCAGACAGAATGACCAACTGTACAAAGTCCAGTCAGACAGAATGACCAACTCTACAAAGTCCGGTCAGACAGAATGACCAACTGTACAAAGACTGGTAAGACAGGATGACCAACTGTACAAAGACTGGTCAGACAGAATGACCAACTGTACAAAGTCTGGTAAGACAGAATGACCAACTACAAAGTCTGGTCAGACAGAATGACCAACTGTACAAAGTCTGGTCAGACAGAATGACCAACTCTACAATGTCTGGTCAGACAGAATGACCAACTCTACAATGTCTGGTCAGACAGGATGACCAACTGTACAAAGACTGGTCAGACAGGATGACCAACTCTACAAAGTCTGGTCAGACAGAATGACCAACTGTTCAAAGTCTGGTAAGACAGAATTACCAACTCTACAAAGTCTGGTCAGACAGAATGACCAACTGTACAAAGTCCAGTTAGACAGGATGACCAACTGTACAAAGTCTGGTCAGACAGGATGACCAACTGTACAAAGTCTGGTTAGACAGAATGACCAACTCTACAAAGTCTGGTCAGACAGAATGACCAACTCTACAAAGTCTGGTAAGACAGAATGACCAACTCTACAAAGTCTGGTCAGACAGAATGACCAACTCTACAAAGTCTGGTCAGACAGAATGACCAACTCTACAAAGTCTGGTCAGACAGAATGACCAACTCTACAATGTCTGGTCAGACAGAATGACCAACTCTACAATGTCTGGTCAGACAGAATGACCAACTCTACAAAAGTCTGGTCAGACAGAATGACCAACACTACAAAGTCTGGTCAGACAGAATGACCAACTGTTCAAAGTCTGGTAAGACAGAATTACCAACTCTACAAAGTCTGGTCAGACAGAATGACCAACTGTTCAAAGACTGGTCAGACAGAATGACCAACTCTACAAAGACTGGTCAGACAGAATGACAACTGTACAAAGTCCAGTCAGACAGAATGACCAACTGTACAAAGTCTTGTCAGACAGAATGACCAACTGTACAAAGTTTGGTCAGACAGAATGACCAACTGTACAAAGCCTGGTCAGACAGAATGACCAACTGTACAAAGTCTGGTCAGACAGAATGACCAACTGTACAAAGTTTGGTCAGACAGAATGACCAACTGTACAAAGTTTGGTCAGACAGAATGACCAACTGTACAAAGTTTGGTCAGACAGAATGACCAACTGTACAAAGTCTGGTCAGACAGAATGACCAACTGTACAAAGTTTGGTCAGACAGAATGACCAACTGTACAAAGTCTGGTCAGACAGAATGACCAACTGTACAAAGTTTGGTCAGACAGAATGACCAACTGTAACAAAGTCCGGTCAGACAGAATGACCAACTGTACAAAGCCTGGTTAGACAGGATGACCAACTGTACAAAGTCTGGTTAGACAGAATGACCAACTCTACAAAGACTGGTAAGACAGAATGACCAACTGTACAAAGACTGGTAAGACAGAATGACCAACTGTACAAAGTCTGGTTAGACAGAATGACCAACTTTACAAAGTCTGGTTAGACAGAATGACCAACTGTACAAAGTCCGGTTAGACAGGATGACCAACTGCACAAAGTCTGGTTAGACAGAATGACCAACTGTACAAAGTCTGGTTAGACAGAATGACCAACTGTACAAAGTCCGGTTAGACAGGATGACCAACTGCACAAAGTCTGGTCAGACAGGATGACCTACTGTACAAAGTCTGGTCAGACAGAATGACCAACTGTACAAAGTCCAGTTAGACAGGATGACCAACTGTACAAAGTCTGGTCAGACAGGATGACCAACTGTACAAAGTCTGGTTAGACAGAATGACCAACTGTACAAAGACTGGTCAGACAGAATGACCAACTGTACAAAGCCTGGTCAGACAGAATGACCAACTGTACAAAGTCTGGTCAGACAGAATGACCAACTCTACAAAGTCTGGTCAGACAGAATGACCAACTGTACAAAGTCTGGTTAGACAGGATGACCTACTGTACAAAGTCCGGTCAGACAGAATGACCAACTGTACAAAGTCTGGTCAGACAGAATGACCAACTGTACAAAGTCCGGTCAGACAGGATGACCAACTGTACAAAGTCTGGTTAGACAGAATGACCAACTGTACAAAGTCCGGTTAGACAGGATGACCAACTGTACAAAGTCTGGTCAGACAGAATGACCAACTGTACAAAGTCCGGTTAGACAGGATGACCAACTGTATAAAGTCCGGTTAGACAGAATGACCAACTCTACAAAGTCTGGTCAGACAGAATGACCAACTGTAACAAAGTCCAGTTAGACAGAATGACCAACTGTACAAAGTCTGGTCAGACAGGATGACCAACTATACAAAGTCTGGTAAGACAGAATGACCAACTGTACAAAGTCTGGTCAGACAGGATGACCAACTGTACAAAGTCTGGTAAGACAGAATGACCAACTGTACAAAAACTGGTAAGACAGAATGACCAACTGTACAAAGTCTGGTAAGATAGAATGACCAACTGTACAAAGTCCTGGTGAGACAGAATGACCAACTGTACAAAGACTGGTCAGACAGAATGACCAACTGTACAAAGTCTGGTAAGACAGAATGAAATACTGTACAAAGTCTGGTAAGATAGAATGACCAACTGTACAAAGTCTGGTAAGACAGAATGACCAACTGTACAAAGTCTGGTAAGACAGAATGACCAACTGTACAAAGTCTGGTGAGACAGAATGACCAACTGTACAAAGACTGGTCAGACAGAATGAACCAACTGTACAAAGTCTGGTAAGACAGAATGACCAACTGTACAAAGTCTGGTAAGATAGAATGACCAACTGTACAAAGTCTGGTAAGACAGGATGACCAACTGTACAAAGTCCAGTTAGACAGAATGACCAACTGTACAAAGTCTGGTGAGACAGAATGACCAACTGTACAAAGACTGATCAGACAGAATGACCAACTGTACAAAGTCTGGTAAGACAGAATGACCAACTCTACAAAGTCTGGTGAGACAGAATGACCAACTGTACAAAGACTGGTCAGACAGAATGACCAACTGTACAAAGTCTGGTAAGACAGAATGACCAACTGTACAAAAGTCTGGTAAGATAGAATGACCAACTGTACAAAGTCTGGTGAGACAGAATGACCAACTGTACAAAGACTGGTCAGACAGAATGACCAACTGTACAAAGTCTGGTAAGACAGAATGACCAACTGTACAAAGTCTGGTAAAGATAGAATGACCAACTGTACAAAGTCTGGTAAGACAGGATGACCAACTGTACAAAGTCTGGTAAGACAGAATGACCAACTACAAAGTCTGGTCAGACAGAATGACCAACTGTACAAAGTCTGGTAGACAGAATGACCAACTCTACAAAGTCTGGTCAGACAGAATGACCAACTGTACAAAGTCTGGTAAGACAGAATGACCAACTGTACAAAGTCTGGTCAGACAGAATGACCAACTGTACAAAGTCTGGTAAGACAGAATGACCAACTGTACAAAGTCTGGTCAGACAGAATGACCAACTGTACAAAGTCTGGTAAGACAGAATGACCAACTCTACAAAGTCTGGTCAGACAGAATGACCAACTGTACAAAGTCCGGTCAGACAGAATGACCAACTGTACAAAGTCTGGTAAGATAGAATGACCAACTGTACAAAGTCTGGTAAGACAGAATGACCAACTGTACAAAGTCTGGTCAGACAGAATGACCGACAGTACAAAGTCCGGTTAGACAGGATGACCAACTGTACAAAGTCTTGTCAGACAGAATGGATGTATACTTGCCTAGCTCTATGCATTTGGCTTAATCATCGTCAAAGATGGACTAACCTTCTGATTTAGAGTCTGCTGTTTCAAATGCAGAATGTCGTCTGCTGCTGCGAACTTTCTTCTTGCCGGATTTTCTCTTCACAGGTATGGCTATTGTATCAGAGACTCCATCAAAATCTGTATAAAACATAACAAAGCTTGCTAATGTGATTATGACTCGATTTAAAGTAAACATACCAATGGCCTTTGGTTGCATTCTATCTATATTAGTGACATAAAACTTTAAAATTTCATGTACCATTCTAGGTATCTGATGTAGAACCAAAATGAACCTTCAATTCTTTTAACTACATTCCATATAAAAAACATTACTTTATTTGGCTGAGATATATTTTTTCACATTGTACTGGTGTTTTACTGGTGTGAATGGTCATATTTCATTGGACAATCAGTAAAACAAAATAAGACACACCTGTTCACTCACTGTGTCAGCAGAAAAAAACCCTGATATATAGTAGTAAAAGGTAGACAGGTAAAAGAGAGGTTAGAAGATTGGAAACAAAACTTTATTTTAGCTGGCCTAAACTACAGCATACATACATGTGATGAAGTTTTTTTATATGAGGAATGGAAATTTTTCAAGATTAATGTTTCATTAATTTTCATGTAATCTAGACCAATAACTTCAAAATTTCATATCATTCACTCACTTTATTTTTCAAGAATGATTATTCTAATTGTGAAAAATGACCCAAAATTGAAAAGCGAAAACCGGGCGAAGAATAGCACAAAAAATGATTTTTCAATTTATTTCTGAGTATATTTCTTTATATTATCATTCACATATCTTTCTGTTTTAGGTGCCCCAGTTAAGCTATGTAAGAAATTTTAATTTTATGTTTTTAAGTTTTTGTATCTCAGTGGAGTTCCTTTAAGAATGACCAAGGCACAGTAAGTATTGTGACTCAGGAGTGTCTCTGATTATAAACTATAAATATGTTATTGAAAATATCAGGAAATGATTGACATGATTGACTTAATTATTAATATATTGGAAAACATACAAATTGTAATATAGATTAGTAGAGATTATCAATATTTACATGTAGGAAATAAGAAACATCACTGAGGACTTGACCAGCCAGCCCCCACAAACATTTAACAGATCAAAGTAAAACTAATTGTTAGTGGTTCCATCAAAATTAATAGTACCTGCTAAGCCTGTATTGTACTTTTCAAGGACCACTTTAATCATTCTGATATTATATCATCTACAGGTCCTCAAACACTTACATGAGTAAAGAATACACACATTTATGTAAGGTATATTATTACCATTAGGAAAGGGTTGATCTAAATGGATATCAGCACTGTCAACACTTGATAAACTGGTTAAAGACAATCTTCTTGGTCCCTGGCTCATAACACGTAGGTAACCAATATCATCTTCATTCTGCAAATCATCAGTTACATCTTCTGTTACCATAGCAACATGGCTTTCTGATACATTAACAAATTGTTTATGTTGGTTTTGGGTGTCAAAAGTATCACATACATGATCTGTATGTATGACAGGTTCTTTGATATGTTCTTGTATAGTATTTTCAGTTAATCTTGATTGGGCACATCTTACCGGAGCATCTAATGTTTGTTCCATACCTCCAACATCATCAATATTGTCACTTATAAATCTAGCTTCATGTTCAACCAATTCAGTATCTTCATCCTGTTTATCAACCTTTTCCACACAACCACTTTCACTTTCTTCTAAAACTGTATGAACAATCTCACTATCATTATCCTCCACATGATTATCAAAGTTGTTTCTGTAAACTAATGAACCTTTATCAGTTTCAACATGTTTATTTTCTTTGGTTCTTTCAGTCATAAAATCAACTTCACTCTTAATCTCATTTTCAAAATTATCTTGTTTTTCATTCAAGCTTTTATGATCAGTCTCTGCAACATATTCTTTCACACCATTTAAATCATCAGGAATACTTAAATTTTCCTGCATATGATTATTCCTTTGAGCAATTTTAGTTGTACTTTTAACGTCTTTCTCAATTTCATTTGTTTCAGTTATATCACCAGTTGTTCCATTTATTGCACTATTCGGTGCAGAACTTAGCACACTACCAACACTGGATCCACTTATTGCACTACCAGACCGACTTCTACCAGAACTTAATTCATCCATTTCCGAATCATCGGCCATTTTGTTCTCCACATTTATAATCACCTCATGAACTTGATCAGCTAAATCTTCCATCTTTTCTTCCACAAGCTTGTTATATATCTTGTGTAAATTGTCTACACCAAATTTTTTTCTGACATGTTTGAAGAGAAAAACATTTCTGTGTTGAATGCACAAATAGGCAGCAGACTGTATGTCATTTGTCTGTATATAACCTGGTATGATCGATGTCACTGACTGAAATGATAGGCACTGTAGTTTCATCGATTCAAAGAAAATGTAAAGTTCTTCATCAAGGCAACAGATGTCTTGTATTCCTGAAAAATAATTTCAAAATGTAAATTTCTTCATCAAAACAGCAAACTTCTTCTATTCCTGAAAAATATTACAGTGTCAAGGCAATGTTTGTCTTGTATTCCTGAAATACAATGAATAATCAATATCTCGGAAAAGTTCTGTAAAAACAACTGTCAGTTTTAAACTACACAACTATTACTACTTCCGGTTTTTTCCAGTGAGATTGTTTATCTAAATTTGTAATAAAGTAAAGAAATATACCTGAAAATTGATTGGTCCATAGCATTACCTTGACATTAATTGGGTCAAGGACATAGACACTTGTGTTGGTCCAAGTTAACAGAAAATTCTTTCTGGAATAAAGAACATACACATACAAGTGTCCAAATAGGTTTTAAGGTAGGTCTGATAGGAAGGGTGGGAGTTAGAAGGGAGAAAGGTGTGTGAGGGTAGAGGGGAGGTGCCATTTTATATTTACTAAAAAATACAGAGCTATAAATTAAACCAAATCATTTTGCTGAAGTTTACCAGTTTACATTCTATTGCAATTCTTATTGTATATTTCAACTCATGTGCTATCTGAATTAAACAACAACCAAAAATAATGATGATTAAACAATGAAGTAACATTATTTTACAGACTTATGTTTAAAATCATTTAAAATGATAAGATACATTAACTTACTTAAGAATGATAAGTTTTGGGAATGCTACAGACTGTGCCTTGGTCGTGTTGGTCTCTGTGTCAAATATATACTTCCTGCAAAAAAGTAAATAAGTAACAATAGTTTCATCTACAACTTGAAAGAAACCCCTGTAAGAAGATACATGTTCTTAACCATAAAAGTTAATTAACCAATTGCATATAGATGTCTTTGAAAAATAAGATGCAGTTTAAATAGATGAGATCTCTATGGAAAAAAAACTAGCAGGGTTTTTATGTAACAAAAACATATGTCTCCCAAAACTATGTATGGTCACTCATGTGAAGTTTCATTGAAATCCCACCAGTAGCTTGACCTGTGAAAGCCAGACAAGATTTTTCTATTTATAGCTCTGACGGCCATTTTGTGCAGCAAAGCAAAACGTGCCATCATTATGCACAACCAGGGATGGTACTGATCACTCCTGTAAAGTTTGGTAAAAATCCCACCAGAAGTTTGACCTGCGAAGGCCAGACAAGATTTTTCTATTTTTAGCTCTGGCGGCCATTGTGTGCAGCAAAGCGAAACGTGCCAGCATTATGCACAACCAGGGATGGTACTGATCACTCCTGTAAATTTTGGTTGAAATCCCACCAGTAGTTTGTCCTGTGAAGGCCGGACAAGTTTTTTCTATTTTTAGCTCTGGCGGCCATTGTGTGCAGCAAAGCGGAACGTGCCGGTGATGTGCACAACTAGGGATGGTACTGATCACTCCTGTAAAGTTTGGTTAAAATCCCACCTGTTGTTTGACCTGTGAAGGGCTGCAAACTGAATGCGGACGGACGGACGGACAGACAGACGGTGAAGGCAAGCACAATATGTCTCCCAAAAATTTTAGGAGACATAATTCTTAAGGGCATGTTAGGCGTCAGAAACAATAATGGTTTTAGTGCATGTTAGGTGCTTATCACTCAAGGAAGAAAATGACTTTTCATAAAAATTACAAAGTGTAAACAAAGTAGTATTTTGACTTCCATATATAAAATACTAAATCACTATAACTATACTAATTGCCAAAAGGCAACAGAAGCAAATAATGGTTCAGGTGATTTGCCCTTGAGTAATTTTTTGGAAACTATGACACCCAAAAATACACATAAAAGCCTCTGCGAAATAAAACTTGAAGCATTTCATGTGCATAATGAGCCTTTAACACATTGCACCCCATACATTATATTTAATATGATGATACTAAACTGTTCCATTTTACACTATTATTCAAATGCATGACTCTTCTGGAGGAAGCTGATGTGCATGAATAAATAGTTGCAACTTATAGTTAATTATGTATATTGTAATAAAAACTGTAATAGTAACTTACTGGTTTATATTGATGATATGACTAGGAGGAAGTGCTAACAACTGTTTAAACTGATGTGTGTTCAACACATTACCCTCAAAGTCAACCTGAAATAATAAACTATAATAAATTTTATGCCATTGAATAAGATTCCAAAAATCTGTGCATTATTTCAACACCTGAGTAGAACCAAAGACCCTTTTTTAGCTAGTTTTCCCCCATGAAAGATAAAAAAATCCTTCAGTCTGAGGGACGTTATTTATTCAGGGCTGATTATTGATTTTTGCTATTGCAGCTGAGTAAAATTGTGCATTGATTTTTGCTATTGCAGCTGAGTAAAATTGTGCATTCATAGTGACAGTGCATCATTTAAGTAAAGCTGCTGTAAGTTGCTAAGTTTCAATCAAAACATAAAATCAAGTCATCTAGACTGCTTGTTTGATGATGTCATATATGACATCATATTTAACCATTTTTTCCATGTGCTAGTGTTCAGCAGAGGAATTAAGCTTATGAGATTTCAGTTTGGGTCGGAAAACTCATAACACACAATGACAAATGACACTTATAACTAGTTACAATCATGGCCAAGGTTGTTACTATTAATAGTAACAATGGTATTAAGTGCCATTTGTCACGCCGGCCACAATATATGACACGAGCCTATGGAAAGATTTTTAATGCAAACTTATATGATAATTAAAATTGTAATACCACTTTTGCACTTTAGGCATAGTTAATGAAGTTACTGGATGGCCAATAAATGGTCAAATATCTATAGTCTAGTCACAGAGCCTTATTTTCTGACCTTCAGAAAGCATTTTTATTTGTTAATGTCTTAATTTTCTTTTCTACAGAAAACATAATCCATTGGCTTAAGTCTATAGTTTTTTACCTTCAGAAAAATAGAATCTGTTTTATGTATCTATAAAAGAAATAATCCATGTGTTTCTGCCAAAATTTATATACTATAGATTTATATAGAAAAAATATTATATTGGTATATGTTTAACACTTTCTATCCATACAAAGCATAAATATTCTAAATCTAAATATTCAAACCTAAAAAATAGGTTTAAATGATAAAATAAAATTTCTCTAAAATTTAGAGTTACCTCCCATATTCTGGATCCTGGCCTTGCACTGTAAATCATGGGAGCTGATGTCCCTTGTTGTAGAAAACAAGCACCAAAATTACCATCTCTATTCAATATATAGAGGGTATTTTAGATCTAATACTAAATCTATTGAACAAGTTGGATAAATTCATATTATGTGAGCCTCTGTTTGTATATAATGCAACAGACATCAGGTTTATACACTAATGTATATGGTTTTTATTAAATAGTTTTATTACATTCCTGCACCATGGTTTATGTGATATAAAACAATTCAGTAAAAGTATTAGACATAACTTTTAAAATTCTTCAACAACTCAACGTAAATGTTCTCTACTCTATAAACAAAGAAATTTTACAAAACAAATTTAAAAGCACTGATAAATGGCTACCTTAACATACATGTATACTTTTTATCTATTCCCCCCCCCCCCCCCAAAAATATAAAAATATTTTAAAAAAATGGCTGAAAATGAAACGCTAATAATAAGGTACAGTTGACTCTTGATAAGTCAAAATCGCTTTACTCAAAATTCCGCGTAAGTCGAAGAATTTCTAAAGTCCCGTCAAATTTCCTTCTTTATCTTTGTATTTTAACTCCGCTTAGGTCAAATTTTGACTTACCGAGACTCCTGTTTAGTCGAAAAGAAAATTTGGTCCCGTCAATTAAAGTCCAACATATTTTCATATTAATTAGTCGAAGTTTGAAAACAGCCGACAGATCAAAGGTCGGCGACATCAAGTTGAGATGATGTCACTCGTGATTCACACGTTTCATAGTAATTTAAATTGCCGGTTATCATGTATTATAAGCACGTCGTGAAAGTGGCTTTAATCGGATTTAGGACTTAATTAGTTTTAACAGTTAAATAAGTAATTCAAGATTTAATTAATTTAATTGTGCCTGCCTAGGTATTGATGTGTGTTTTCAACGTAAATGACATTTATATAATTAATGTTCCGTCATATTGCATACATTAATATGTACTTCCGGTTCACGATAGTCGCTACTTTTGTTTTAGTCCGATGATCAATTTACTTTAAACATTAGATAAATTGTTGTTGAAATAAATGTGTTATTGTGCTTTTATTGTAATTAATTATCATGATTGTGTATTAAAAGCATGTGCATTACTGATGAATACTGACAAACTTGCATTTATGTCATTGCTACGAATGCTTGTGTTTATATTTCACTATTAATATCCATGTATTACATTTTGAATAATATATTTTTGTTAATTTATAATTTGTATTTGTAAGTGATTTACAGTCATTTCAACGGTTAAATATTGCAGCATTGCCGCTAGCAACAATAACAAACATACTTCTTTGCACATTCAATCAGGTATATGTATATACATGTACGAATGTCAATGTAATGGCGGCAGATCCACGTTACTCGAATTCCGTTTCTCTCGAAGTAAAATGCCGAGTCCCTTGGATTTCGAGTTATCGAGAGTCAACTGTATTTATAAATAAAAATCATATTACCTCAGTTTCTTTCCAATCTGTGAGTAATGTTGTCTGAAAGTTATAAACAGATTGTATAGTTTCCAAAAGACTGTATAGTTGTCAAGAGACTGTATAGTTTCTAAAAGTTTGTACAGTTTCCAAAAGATTGTACAGTTTCCAAAAGATTGTATAGTTTCTAAAAGATTGTATAGTTTCTAAAAGATTGTATAGTTTCTAAAAGTTTGTACAGTTTCCAAAAGATTGTACAGTTTCCAAAAGATTGTATAGTTTCTAAAAGATTGTATAGTTTCTAAAAGTTTTTTTATAGTTTCTAAAAGTTTGTACAGTTTCCAAAAGATTGTACAGTTTTCAAAAGATTGTACAGTTTCTAAAAGTTTGTATAGTTTCCAAAAGATTGTATAGTTTCCAAAAGATTGTACAGTTTCCAACAGATTGAATAGTTTTCTAGAAGATTGTTTACTTTCCAAAAGATTGTATAGTTTTCCAGAAGACAGAATAGTTTCCAAAATAGTGTTAACTTTTCAAAAGATTGTATAGATTTCAAAAGATTGTACAGTTTCTATTTTTTTGTTCATAGACTTGATTCAAACAAAACTGAGGCTCCAATACTCTACACTAAAAACAGTAGTGGAGCTTCAGTTAAGATATAATTGACATAGACAAAACTTACTTGACAGTATCACAAAGGTAACATCTAGTCATTGTAGACACAAGTACTTTATCTTCTGCTTTATCTAACTGAACTATAGCTGAGTCAAGCTTCATTATAATCTCTAGAGGTAAACTAAACAGATTCTTTGCCTGCAAACATTTTGCAAAATAAGCATTGTTTAACCCATTACTTCATATACACGCCTTTTAACGCCTTTTTTCACCCCCCCCCCTTTTTGTTGTCTCTCATGGTGAAAAAATGCCTCATTTAGGCCCCCAACACTTGTTTTTGTTTGAGAAATGTTGTTAAAAAAAGTGACGACTTTTTCGGCGCGGCCCCCCAACCAAAAGATACATCAGGGGGTTGCCAGAAGGGGAATGTGCCCCCTTCTGTTTGGGGGGTTTGAAGGGGGGCAGAGTCCCCCTCATCGCCAAGAAAATTTTGGACTTGTGAGAGGCTGTAAATGACCCCAGATTGATCATAAGGTAACGTTTAACCAACGCTGAAAAGCATTTGACTCTATCTTAATCCATTGAGAAGTTGCAGCACTTTGAAATCAATTTTGATGGAAAAAATCAACGCAAAATAGTGATTTTTGGCAATTTTGAGATGTCCCCTCGTTGCCTTGGTAACAGGATAATTTAAGCCTGTGCATGTTGTTTCAAGGTCAATGGTCCAGTCAACATTTGTGCCAAGTTTGATTAGTATTGAAGCAGTTTTTATAGTATTATAGCAATTTGAACTTGTAGCGGGAGACTTTTCAATGAAAACAACCATTTTTCACAAAATGCTCATGAAGTAATGGGTTAATGAAAAAAATAAAAAATTCTACAAAACAACAAGTTTTCTTCAAATTTATATGACAGGCAATGTTGAAACATGGAAAAACGCAATTTTGGTTAATTTCAAGTATTTTCATCATTTTCTGTTAACCCATTACTTCATATACACGCCTTTTAACGCCTTTTTCACCCCCCCCTTTTTGTTGTCTCTCACGGTGAAAAAATGCCTCATTTAGGCCCCCAACACTTGTTTTTGTTTGAGAAATGTTGTTAAAAAAAGTGACGACTTTTTCGGCGCGGCCCCCCAACCAAAAGATACATCAGGGGGTTGCCAGAAGGGGGATGTGCCCCCTTCTGTTTGTGGGGTTTGAAGGGGGGGCGGAGTCCCCATCATCGCCAAGAAAATTTTGGACTTGTGAGAGGCTGTAAATGACCCCAGATTGATCATAAGGTAACGTTTAACCAACGCTGAAAAGCATTTGACTCTATCTTAATCCATTGAGAAGTTGCAGCACTTTGAAATCAATTTTGATGGAAAAAATCAACGCAAAATAGTGATTTTTGGCAATTTTGAGATGTCCCCTCGTTGCCATGGTAACAGATAATTTAAGCCTGTGCTTGTGTTTCAAGGTCAATGGTCCAGTCAACATTTGTGCCAAGTTTGATTAGTATTGAAGCAGTTTTTATAGCATTATAGCAATTTGAACTTGTAGCGGGAGACTTTTCAATGAAAACAACCATTTTTCACAAAATGCTCATGAAGTAATGGGTTAAAGGACAAATACATGTTTATACAAAATAAAGATAAAATACTCATAACATACAAAAATATAGATAAGGCAAAGAACTTCATACAAATTGTCAAAGTTGTATTTAAATAAAGTGCTAAAATATGTTTTTTTTTTTAATTTTTTTTTATTTTGGTTGGCTTTCATGTTGCATCAACAAGGTCATATGGCCTTTATCAAGTTTTATTATTGCCTCTGGGGATTATTTCAGACATGAATGGACACTTCAATAGAACCACAGATGTTTTATGAAACCACCAACATACAATACATTATTTCAATCAAATTATATAGACAGTTTTAGCTGTCTATAACTATAACAAATATGGCCAAGTATGAGTATAATACATTTATATACCATATAATGACAAAGTTATAGCTAATAACAGGTCAAGGTCATTGATGGGCTATTCCATTATTCAGCAGGTTAAGGGTTAAAACTGACCTTGTTTGAGTATACTGGCATCATTGAAACCTTCCCAAGGTCATCCCCTATGAACAACTTTGCACTTGTTTGATCCCATAGCAGACTGGTAACTAGGCAACCAGCAAGGTCAGAGCTTGATCGTAATGTCTCGGCTTTTGACCTTGACTCCAGTTTCAGGTCTAAGACATATATATTGCTTGAACTAAAATCAAGATGGTAATAAAACTCTTTTAACAGAATTATAAATGGAGCTTACAGTTTTTTGAATACACAAAAAAAAATTGACTTGCAAAACCAAAGCTGATCTTCATCTGCTGTTCATATTAAAGTGAAAAATCATTTTATCCTCCTGCCAAAAAATAAAAAGTTTCTGTTCATTTCATTTTTTTAGTGGTTTGAAATGTTTTTGACTAATTTTTCAAAATTTTTAAAAAATAAAAGAGATACACAAAATTTCAAAGTCATCAAATTTACAGAAATACCTGCACATTAATTTGATACTGGGAGTTAATTTTATATATAACACATGAGTGAAAGTTTAAACAACGTAAAAAGGTGGAGATTATTAACTCAACTAGCAGTTAACTGTCTATGCTCAACCTACAATACTGACATGCTTCTACCTCCAGTATCACCAGCACTACAATACTCATCTCCTAGAACTTCATCAAGTCTCATCAGATTAAACATAAATCAGTGCTTTGGGGTGTAAGAGATGATTCAATCAATAAAACCCTGCCTCCTATTTTAACTACCAGTATTTGTTTTTTTATTGTCATTGCTCATGAAGGATCTGCCCTTTTTCAGTTAACCCTCTCATTTTCTTTGGCATTTCTTTATAAAAAAAAGTCTTTTAGCAGTTTTAATCTTTCTTAAGTGTAATCATTTTCTATGCCCATGTAATGAGATATTAAATATGAAACTTACCTGACAAAAGCAACATATTTTTCATGTGGACTAATCCTCACAAGAGAAACGCTGTTGGTTTCCTATAAAAATACATATTACACTATTGTTACATTAAGGAGGCTCATTCTAAAATGGCACAATTTTTTGAAGGGTAAAAGGCTTGATTTTATAAACTGCAGAATAATTGTTAGCATCATGATTAAGGCAATACTAGCAAACTCACAAAATGCAAGTAAAAAAAGAAAAATGTCAAATAAACATCTTTTGAGTATACACAGAGAAGATGTGTTATGCTTTGAACCCTACACACTATATGTAAACACAGTATGAATACACAGTGGCTGTTTGTTTTTTTTAAGAAAGGATCAATTTACCTTGACCAGTAATAGGGAATGCAATTTTCCAAACATAGTTCATGCATTTTCATATTCAAATTAGACATATTTAGCAAAAATTTCATAGATTTCAATTAATTCCTGCAATAAAAGTATGTAACCCAATATGTGAGCATAGTATATCTTTAAATAATCTACGAAAAAAGACAATTTCAGTGACGTACAAAAAGCAAGAAGAATGTTAACATTTGCATACGGACGTTTTTACTGCAGTCAAACCTACATCTACATTAGACAGTCATGAGAATACAAATGTGGTCTTTAATGTTCATCCAAAAACAGGTTATTTTTGCTGTAGTAATATTGTCAAGAGGAAAAACAAATGCCAATAACTCTGGCCTATGCTAATAAGTAGTCTATACATATATGTGATTGCTACATTATATACAACAATGATCTTTCAAAACAGGTTTAACTGTAAATATAATGAATGTTAATCATGAAAGTCATCCAATAGAATTTACCTGTTCAGCAAGTTCACATTTTTAGCAAATCAATCTTTTCAGCAAATTCACTTTTTCACCAGATTCAGCAAATTTTCCCTTTCTTCAAATTTACCTTTTCATTTCAGAAAATTCAGCATATTTACCTTTTCAGCAAATGCAATCTGTAGCAGTTTTTGGTCTACCCTAGAGAAGATGTAAATACCTCCAGTGTTGGAACCAAATGCAACTAGTTTGTTAGATACAGAGACACAATTATACTGAAAATAGAAGTGAACTTACTTATATTTACATGTTAACTTTAAGAAAAATAACCTATCAAAGATTAATTACAGATGAAATATGTACATTTGTATTACATAAATCATTCTTTAATAAAGATAGGGAGAAACTTACCAAAAATGAACATAAGAAACAATAAAATTTCTCTCAAAGTGAAATTGGCAGACACAGTACAAATGGTCAGAAATATAATAACATTGTAAAATTAAATTAAGATAAAGTAAGAATATTGAATTGTTAAAACAATATTTTTTATTTTACTTTTATTTTTTTTGACAATAAATTTTTATATTTAGATAAACTGACACACAACAAGAATTGTGTAGACATCTTTTTCATTTGACCAAAATAAAACAAGGATAACCTTAATGCCTATGTCCACCTTAAATTAAATTTACAGTCATAATACTTCTTTCTCCGTTGGCTCGAAGTACCAATTTCTTGAGCAAATTTATTTATGCGAGCACTCCGAGTTCTAACAGGAACAAGCAATTATCATAGTATTGCAAGCAATCCATAAGTCCCCTACCGGTTAGAACCCCATCAACATTCTGAAGGGCCATTCACTAATGTTTCAATTTTTCTCTATTTTAAGTAAGTTTGTTGGAAAAGTTCTTTAAAAGTGATCACAGGAAACAGTTTTTATGAACAGACAGACAGACTGACTGAAGGACACTCTAAAGTTAATATTTGAAACATCCCTGTTACCAAAATATAACATTTTAAAAGCAAAATTCTTAAACAGGAGATAACTCTTGAATTAAAGATGCAATCTCATAAAAATTTTCAGCTCTTTTTGACTAATCACAAATATTGTTATATTTGCCATGTTTTAAGCCTATTTGTTGCCAAGGCAACAGATATTTTTTCAAAATAGGAAGAACAGATAAGACATGCATAATCTCAAGACTGCCATCTACCCATATGTCAAGTTTCATAAAAATATTTCCAGTACTTTTTGAGTTATCACTGGATTCAGTTTATGTGTAAAATTTGCCATATTTTCAGTCTATGTGTTGCCATAGCAACCAGAATTTTCAACATAGGAAGAAAAGAAAAAGACATGCATAATTTCAAGACTGCCATCTACCCATATGTCAAGTTTCATAAAAATATTTCCAGTACTTTTTGCTTTATCACTGGATCCAGTTTATGTGTAAAATTTGCCATATTTTCAGCCTATTTGTTGCCATAGCAACCAGAATTTTCAACATAGGAAGAAAAGAAAAAGACGTGCATAATCTCAAGACTGCCATCTACCCATATGTCAAGTTTCATAAAAATATTTCCAGTACTTTTTGCGTTATCACTGGATCCAGTTTATGTGTAAAATTTGCCATATTTTCAGCCTATTTGTTGCCATAGCAACCAGAATTTTCAACATAGGAAAAAAAGAAAAAGACGTGCATAATCTCCATACTGCCATCTATCCATATACCAAGTTTCATAAAAATATTTTCAGTACTTTTCAAGTTATCACGGGATCCAGTTTTGTGGACAGACGGACTGACAGACGGACGGACGGACAGACGGACGGAGGGTAAACCTAGTCCCCTCCGGTAAACCGGTAGGGGACTAAAAAAGTTTTACTATTATCAAGGACTGATGCTTTAACCTTAATCCCTTAGTCACTGGAGTATATGTTATAAGAAAGTCAACTGTCAAACAAAATTCTTTAAAAAAAATCATTTTTAAAGTTATTTTAACTTCAATGAAGAGAACATAGTGACAAACCTTCAGCCTGGATGATCTGTTAAGTGGTGCCTGAAGTTCATCTGTGGACTGGCCTTCCAGTAGAACATAGTCTGAGTCTCTCTCAAACCATTCACTCCCCATCCTGTATGCTTGGTGAGGTAACTAAGATTTTGTCACATTGCTTCACTGTGAACCTATGTTATAACTGAAACCAAATGTAGCACCTTTTAAAGCATCATTCTACAAAGCAAACTTTTTGGCTGATAATAATATCAGTGCAAAAGAAAATAAAAATCTTTAAAAAGGCAACATGATACATCTAAGACTACAGGAGACATTAATAGTGTTTATGCAGTATCAAAAAACAACCAAATACAAAATCACTCCCTTTTGAATTACTTGATCATATTAACTTGTACTGAGGTTGAAATTTCTACTTGTCTGTTTGGTTTGGCCACTAGAATTTCTCATGAGGCAAATGCTAAACCAACAGCATGACTATAATATTTGAAAGTCTAAAATCAAATACTATTTCAGTATTTTGATACTCAACAAACACTCATTGTTCATAGCCTAAAGAAGGGAAAACAGGCCGGTAGGCTTACCTAAGCTTGCTTTGAACGATGTTGACACTTCGCTAGCCAATGCAGAACTCAATTTACTTACTTAATTCTAGATTTATTCGGGCACTTTTAGTCCCGAGATAACCGTCGCGCATGCTGTCCGGCAGGTTTAGGATCACTAAATTATTTTCTGCATTTACAACAGGGGGAAGTCAAAGGCTGGGTCCTTGAAGCGGACTTGTAACACATGTATATTTTAAAAAAATCAAATAATAAATAATTTAAAAAATATATAGAATTCTTAACCTACCAGTGAAAATTTCTGTGTCAGTGTGAAAATTGTAAAATGAAAGGATTTTTATCTGACTTTCTCACTCATACTCCTAGGCTTTGACTACTTTCATATTATCCAATAACAAGTTTATATATTACGTTTAAAGGGGCAAAGACCCCATGACTCCAAAAATACAGCTTGCCTCACAAATGAACCAAGTATTCCAAACTTCACATTGATTAGAAAATGGGCTAAAGCTCTAACTTAACTGTTCAAGTTTTAACACACAGACTGTATTAAACAACAATGATGACACAGTGATCATTATAGTATACAGTAGTGTAGAAACTTCCTGATATATTGACATGCTGCACAACAAAGTGTCAAAATTTTCTATAAACTCGGAAAATGAACAATATATTTGTAATTATTTTACCTGGGTATGTACATGTATCTCTACCATTTTTAGATCATGTGATACAATCATCATTATCAGTAAACGCTTGATTTCTTTTCGTGAAAATAACTTTTCGTTACACTACTGTATAGGACTTAACCCATCTTGTTAATCTGTTGTGAGCTAGGCATATGCCTTTGAAATATTCATTACAAATTAAATGTAGAATTCTAAACTTTTGTGATGAATTAATTATATTAATGATAAAAAGATAAAATTTGTACTTTTTTTATTTCATGTCAAAAAATTATAGACACATGTGTATACTGTACTGTATACTAGGCCTATTGACCTCGATGTGAAAATTCCTTGCTGCCTTGAAATTTGTGCATACTCAGAATTACTTTTAGTTGTACTGTATATTCAGATTTGACAAACTCCAGTTAATGTCTATAAATACAATAAATACATGTATAATGTATGTTGATTTGGTTTTAAAAAATACTTTAACATTTTACCATCAGATTTTATAGCAACAGCATTTTTTAAAAATCTTCTATAAGATTTTATTGTAAATTTTTTTATTTTTTTTTCATAGCTCATCAGTGTCTTTTCAGTTCTCCAAGGTATATATATACAGTTGAGTTGAAACCGTGCATTAGATCTAACTAGCAGTGCACACCATGTGCATCTTAATCTTAGATTAATTAAAACATTTTTGGTTCACTATATTCCTTATATTATTATAGATCTAACTAGCAGTGCACACCATGCAATTTGAAAAATTAGCAATGTTTAGTTTATGAAAATAAGAATCGTCTTCATATACATTTACATGATGTATGTCTTTCTCAGGTCGTGAAAAAGGAACAAAATTTAAATAAATAATAAAATTCATCACCTAGAG